AATGTCACAAAGGATAGAAAACGGGTGTAAATATAAGACTGACAAGGCGTAAAAAAATAAACAATGCTTGATGTTTGGGTGTAAAATCACAAAAGGCCATGAAACAGGAACCACGTCAAAGTCATACAAGGCATGCATCTGGGGACATTTCATCATAAACTGTATTAGATTCATAGTTATACATGTAGTCCTATAATTCTGACACGATCGTAATTTTAACAAATCTCGTATTAGCGCCTTATGAATATTTGTCTGCAATCCTGCTCAGAGTCATATACAGGGTTATATTATACAACACGGAAAAGACTGCAGCCCAATACTTAGATTTACTTTGTTATTGGCTTTGAAAAACCCCATTAATATATTGCAACTGTTCCTATTTCACTCGGTTTCTCCAAAATTGAGGTACATTTTCAATAATGAGCCAACAACAGGTAGGCCTATATATCGGTCAGCTATCTCCAGCGTTATATATACATTTGACGTCGCTACAGGTGTATGGTCTCAAATCCGCGATAACTGACATTAGTAACGTTGCATAGGAAATGTAAATATATGGTTGTACAGACTAACAAAGCGAGAAACCGGCATATAAAGTTACAAAACGAAACAGTATTAATTCACATAAGGCATGATATAAAAGGTCATTTATGAAGTTGAACAAGGGGTGAATCAGTTATGTAAAGTCACATAAGGTGTGAACCAGCTGTGTAAAGCCACACAAGGCGTGACTAAGTTGTGTAAAGCTTCACAAGGCGTGAACGAGTTGTGCAAAGTCACACGAGGCGTGAAACAGTTGTGTTAAGTCAAACGAGGCGTGAAACAGTTGTGTTAAGTCTCACGAGGCGTGAAACAGTTGTGTCAAGTCACAAAAGGTGTGAAACAGTTGTGTAAACTCACACAAGGTGTGGATCAGTGTGTAAAGTCTCACGAGACGTGAAACAGTTGTGTAAAGTCACAAAAGGTGTGAAACAGTTGTGTAAACTCACGCAAGGTGTGGATCAGTGTGTAAGGTCTCACGAGGCGTGAAACAGTTGTGTAAACTCACACAAGGTGTAAATCAGTGTGTAAAGTCTCGATCACGAGGCGTGAAACAGTTGTGTAAACTCACACAATGTGTGAATCGGTGTGTAAAGCCACACAAGGTGTGAATAAGTTGATTAAAGCCACGTAATATGGGAATAAGTTGTTTAAAGTCACACATGTACAAGGCGTGAATCAATTAACAGAGTTACGTGGTAGGGAGATAATAAAAAATCTAAAAATTTCCTCACTTTGATATACATATACTCACAGATTATCGTACATTGTTACATGTTGACATAACGACGTCCAGAGCACAATAATATAGTTGCATAGACAAATGAGGCTTCAGTGACGACAAAATAGATTGCTTTCAGTATTTTTGCTTTCAGTATTTTCTTGGCCCTAACTGTAGAGGGGGTAACAATCTGTTTACCTAAATATTGATTTTGATAGCTTTTTCGTTTTTCTTCGATATAATCAAGTTGATTATTTCAAAAAAACAAAAATCTATTTTCATACATTTTTACATTTTCCACTGATTTTAATAAAGTCAATATTGCAATGCTATCAAAATAAAAGTTAGAATCCGATGACGAAAGACGGATGTTTGAATTTTCTCTCATAATGTTTTCCTAATTTTGTATTCATAGTTTTCAAAACATGAAACGTTAATCTCTTTACTAAATTTTTACTAAATAAAATATTAAACAAACTATGTAAGTCTCATGCACGGTTAGGAAAAGTAATTTGTTGCATCTTGAAAACCGCTCAACGTAAAACATGTGAGAGATAAAAAGGCAATTATCTCATAGGATAAAGATGTTCGTTTTAAACAACCACTGCAGATTTCAGAAAAATCAATTGAAAACATGTAGAAATGCATAAAATATTGAGGGGAAAACCCGCTGGTGGCCTTCTTACATGGGACTATATGTTACACACCGTGAATATTTATATGGGAGGTAACTCTATTCACAAACTCGCAATGGCTGATGATGCTGGACTGGGCCTCCGCGATAAATCCCAAGGTATGGTCTTTTGTGCTTGCCGCTTATGCTATTTCAGTGTATATGTATATGAATTATCATTCCTAGTCAAGACCATTTGTTGGGGGTGGAGAAGGTAGAGCTAGTAGACTGTAGAGTTTGATAAATGCCCATTGATATTTTACCCGTGTCTGCAGCAGAATATGATCTAGGTCTTACACAATACTACATTGTGTATATAAACTCTCTTTCGATAGACGAAACATCTCTTATCGAATAGCATATGCTAATTACAATTTCCTTACAATGGACATTCGTTGCACAGGTCTAGGTAAATGATACAAATCGCTTACTGAAGTTATGGCTTATTATATATATATTCCACACTAATGAATCGTATTGGAAGAGACCACTAATACTCGCACCCATAATATTGTACTGTACTGCTTAATAAGTACCGATTGCAGCACACAGGTATGACTTATCATGTTGCATGTAACAGTTATGAGTATATGGGTATGAAGTGTTGAGTGTTGGGTGTAACAACAATCAATACATTAGAAATGAGATGCAGTACACCGTCCAGTGAAACAAGGAAATTCAATGTGAGAAAGGGAAGCATTAGCCTATTTCTCGGACTGAAATCATAAGTTTTCAGTTCTGATCTCAGTTTAAAAAAATCGGCTTAAAGTTCAGTCTTAATTAAAAATCAAATATTTATTCCTGTTTTCTGTACAGTATGGAAATTAAAGTATCCTAGAGGAAGGATCTGCTATATAATCTAACACACAGAATAACTTTGAAGGAAATACTAAGGAAAGATTTTGCAAACGTAAACAGAAAACCAAACACCTCTCCCAGACAGATGTTGGTTATATTTTCTCAGGGAGTGTATGGTGGGTATTCCTACCTCAGTCACTGAGGGTAATAACTTACTAGGACAATTTACCAAATTACATCCATGTAATTTATTAGATCATATTTACTGACCACAAGGATGGCTGCCAAAATGTTACATTATGTATCAGATTTTTTTTTGAAAAAAATCAATTGATAATTCTTGATACTTATTTGTTACAAATATTTAGAGACAGTAAATATGTACCACATGCATTTTGATTATTTCAGATAATACTAGATCAGGTTTTGAGAAAAGGGAAAAGAGAAGACGAATCAGAAAACTCCAAGATGCTATTTCTCAAAACCAGATCAACATTGTACAACAGATGATGGAGGAAGATTTCGATGTGGATTTCCAGTATCGTGGCCAGACAGCCTTGCAGTTAGCAGTAAAGGAGGGCTTATATGACATGTGTGTGCTTCTAATTATTAAAGGAGCTGATGTGAACAAGATAGACTCGGACATGAACAGTCTCCTCAATATAGCTTCTTGGCGAGGATTTGATGACATAGTGGAATTGTTGATACAAAATAAAGCAGATGTTGACTCTCAGAATGACCTTGGATGCACACCACTTAATACATGTGCTTATAAAGGTCATGCATATATCTGTAGTCTTTTGTTAAAAGCTGGATCTGATTCTAACATACAGAACTCACATGGTCAAACTCCACTCCACACAGCAGCCAAACAAAGACATGTGGAGATCGTAGACTTGTTGAAGAGCTCTTCCTGTAACATGAACCCTGGAGATGAGAACAGGAAAACCCCAATGATATGGGCCGCTGATCTGGGGTTCACAGACATAGTAGAATCTCTTTTATCAGGAGGTATTATTCCTTTTTAGGTATTTTAATATTTCCATCAAAAGTGTTTTTGTCTGTTTCTATTTGGGAATGATATTCAACACCATTCCCAATGTTTTTAAGGGGTTGAGAAGACCATGGGTAATATGAACCTTCAATATTTAAAAAAAATGGTCCAAACATTGAAAAAAGGACAGATTTTGCAGGATTCTTTCTAATTGTGCATATTTCTAGTATCTTGTTATGTCATTTATATATACACCACATAGTAAAGAATAGATGTACATGTACTTAATTGTACTTGATTGTGCTATATATATATTTAAAGTATTTTCAGTACATTGTAATATCATTTATGTATTTGTATTCACCATATATTAAAGAATAGATGAACATGTACTAAATGAACTTATGAATGCTATAGATATGTAAACATACTTAAAGTTAGATAAACATGAATACCATCAATTACTTTCTATCCAGGGTAGGTAAAAACACCCAAATTGTAACGAAAAAATACTGATGACAACAATTACAAAGTAATCACATAAATCGTGGAATTATTTCAGTACAGAAGGCAAAAAAAATCATATTTACATGGGTATGACCACCTTTGAGGTAAAGTGGCATGACCTAGCCCTTAATATGGTGCTGTATTACTGACTCGAATCACAAAATTTTAGGTGCAGACCCTGACAAGCAGGATAACTTGGGAAGGACAGCTCTCTACTGTGCTGCCTCACAAGGTTATTTAGAGGTCACACAAGTACTCATCAAAAGAAAGGCCAACCTGAACCTCCAAACTACCAAAGGCTGCACACCCTTGTTAGGTATGTCACTATCATTGTACATATACAATACACATACACTCTACACAGTTAAATCAACACTTAGGATTCAGGCTTATGTAACATCACATGCACCTTGTTTCAAAGACAGTGGAACAGAAAAAGCTGCAAAATATCTTATAGATGGAACTGTTTTATTCATTGATAACAAATGTAAGTGTGGGGGTATATGTAGAAAAAATGATCCGGTGATGTCAAAAACATTTTCAGGGGAGATAACTCAAACACATATGTGAAATTGCATGTAATGAGGATTTAGCATGTATCTGAAAACTTATCACTATTTTAAATTTCAAATAGACAAGAGTCTCACAGCCCTGGTATGATACTTCAGCCCATTGTTCTTATGATAGTCCTGTGATAGTAAACATACAATATCAGCATTTTCATTTAATTTCTGTAAGCAGATAATGTAGAATTTAAACTTAGCAATACCTAACTCCTTTTAACAGCATGTTGCTGGTGATTATTTTTTTATTTTTATTATAACAGATGCCATAGGAAGTTCTTGTTCAGGTTCCCTTGACATAGCCAGGCTGCTCATCAGTTCAGGGTGTGATGTGAATTTAGCAGATCGGCAGAGTCAGGCTCCCATACATGTTGCTGTCCGTCAGGGTAAGCTTGCTTTCTGGTGTCAGGAAAAACCCACTGCAGTCCATCAGGATAAATGTTGTGGTATTAGACTGATACATCCCTATTCATGTTGTCCTGGTAATTAGTTTATTATAAACAAAAAATAGGATTGTTTCCAGTTTCTGCTTGAAAAAAAATAGGGTTGGTAGGTAGGCAAATTAAAAAAAACCACCATTTTACTGTGCTTATATAGAGCAGTAGTTCTGGCTTTAACAAACTTCAGAGTAGGCATAAAACTCTAGGGTCGGTAGGGAAACCGAAAACACACATATATTTGTTTTTGCCTTACTCCTATGGCCAGACACGTGATTCAATTCAGCAATTTGTCAGCAGGGGTACAATGAAATTCACTGAACCCAGTATCATATGGATGTTGGTTCTGAGTCCCTCTCATACAATCTGCTGACATTACTAATGTCCTAATCTGCAATGCTGTGCTATAGCTTTAATGCAAAATTGAAAATATTTTGCTGAAAGAAAAGTATTTTATTATTTTTGTAACTGGTAGTTTCCCAAATGTTTGGGTCTCCGACTGAGAATGCCTTGGCCTTGGTGAAGATTTTGGTGAGTGGGAAGTGTGATGTGAACCAGCCCGACAGTGAGGGATGGACGCCTCTCTACCAGGCAGCTTTAGCCGGTAACCAAGGTAATGCACCAGGCACC